TCAGCGCGGAATAGTTCAAGTCTTTCCTTATGTGCAGCATCTTGCCATGGATCTTTGTTACTCCGAGGGCTACGTTCGCGCCGATCACGAATGGTGGCAAGGTCACACGTCTCGGGCATGCTGAGAGCTCGCTGCAGACCGCTGGGTCTGGATACTCGACCGTCAATATGGAAGTGGCCGCGGCACCACCGTCAAACAATCCCGCGTGGATATGTAAGGAGAGCAGATAAAATACACTCCTGAGCTGGCCCTGGAACAAGGGTATGCCATGAAAGCCTCTTGGCGCTATGCCAAGCAACATTGGAACCTTGAGCCAAAATGGCTACGGAGGAGGAGGAGGAGGAGGAGGAGGAGGCGGAGGAGGAGAGGAGGAGAGAGGAGCGAGGACCTGCCACCGCGCCTGCGCGACACCACAGCGGGGGGGGAGGGCAATCCGACCTGCCGTCCGCCCGCCTGGCGCGCCTCTGCGGCGGCTGCCTCTCGGAGGCTGGCCCGGCTCCCCCCAGGGGCACGCGCCGCCTGCGGAGGGGCCCCTCGGTTCCTGCCTCGCGGCGCCGCCCCCTCGGCCCAGGGGGAGTTCGGGACGAAAGAAGTATGTGTTTTATATTATGGTTTATCTTCTTCTGTTTTAAGAAATTTAAAAAACATTAAAACACACACACACACACACACACACACACACACACACACAAAGTTCCGAACAAATACCCCAAAGATGCCCAAAAAAAATCAACCAAAAAAATAGGACTTCAAAATGTTCAGGACAGATACCCCAAAAAAGATGCCCCCAAACAAAAATCAACACATCGTATCCAGACTATATTTTGGACTACTTCTGAAGATTTCCCCCCTGTAGAGGGACAGGCCCGACTGAGGCCCGGGGAGGGCGGCCAGACGGCCCCAGACCGCCCCCGAAGAGGCTGCAGGCCGCCCGAAGGCCAGCTCCCAGATGGCCCCGGGGGGGGTCCATCCCAAGACTCGGGCCCAGAGATCCGATGTCGTGATTTTTCAAATACTTTTTTTTAGTCAGCGGCCGCGGGCGAGCGCGCCGGCGGCGAGTCAGGTCAAAGCTGACTACGCAGCGACGAATTAAGCGAAGGCAGCGGGGGCAGGCCACGTCTAACGCAGCTAGCCGAGGCCTCACGCGGCGGCCCAGCGGCGGGCGGGTGGCAGGGGTGACTGAGACTGAGTCGAGCTGCCAGCGTGTGATTTTTTGAATACGCGGTCCCAGAAAATCTCGACCCATTCCCCGGGACCGGTTTTTCATCCTGAGTCGCTTGTTGACGGTCCCGAGGCCCAGCGAGGGCCCCTAGGGGCCGAAAGTTTAGAGAAACCTCCGTCTTGATTTTTTCAATACGTTGGATCTCTGGGGGGGCGAGCGCAGGGGCACCAAGGGAGCAGGGACGAGATGCCTCAGAAGGCTCGGAAGTCCCCCCGGCCCTCCGAGAGGTGTCCAGGTGCTGCTGGAGAAGCGGCCCTGGCCCAGGAAGTGCCCCCAGCGTCAGGCGCCATCCTTGATCGCGGCGACATTCAAACCCTATCCCACCAGTCATGAATGCTCCTGAGCCGATGGGAGGCGGGGGTTAAGGCTCGGATCTCGCCACGCGTTCGACGCATTCCAAACCCTACCTCCTACGCCCGTCGAGTTGCCTGCATTGGACAAGCGCGTTCCACTACTCGCGAAGTGACTACTCTTAAGTCGGGCCTGTCCCCCTACAGGGGGACTTTCAACGAAAAATGAAAAAAATACCCCCTAAAATAATCCAAAAATAATCCAAAAATAGTCTGGGGACTATGTCTGGGGCATTTGTTGACCTTTTTGGGGGCATTTTGGGGGTACTTCTCATTCTTCCTCGAAAATCCCCCTGCCGGGGGACAGGCCCGACCCAAGACTACTCGCATATGGCCTGGATCCGCCGCCGGGGATCTACGACAGAGTACATCGAAGCAGACATGTGCTTTTGCTCGGACGTTTGCGAGTACTCCAGATTTCGTAATAAAGGGAGGGGGGTCTCATCTCGGGGGGGGGGTCTCTTCCAGGCTATCTTGGAGGGCCTGGGGGGGGTCTGGGGACGATGTTTGGGAGGGTTCTCCCACGGGGGGAGGTCTGCAATGGCTCGTCTTGGAGGGTCCAGACCCCCTCCCTTTTATTACGAAATCTGGAGTAGGCGCTTTGCGAGTCGTGCAGCGCGCTCGGTGCTGCGTCGTTCCTCGGCGAGGGCCGGGCTCGCACTCCGCCGACGAAGTCTGTGGGGCCTCTCGGCGGGCCCACTGGGCTTCTCGGGAGCGGCCAAGAGGGGGGTGTCCAAGAGGGGGGCTGCAAATCATGACCGGCGGCATGTGCGCGGCCAAGCGGGGGGGCCAGGGACGTAATGAAATAAGAAGAGGCGTCATAAAATCTGGGGAAATATCATGGCCCCCGCCATGATATCCACCCCCCCTAGTCATCACCCCCCCCCTTTGCCGCCCCCGAGCTTCGTGAGGGCTGCCCTGGAAGCCATCGTAGCCTTCCCGCGAAAGCTGGTGGCCGCCTTGGGCTAGGTCGGGCATGTCACCCTACAGGCGGAGGTTGGACGAAGCACCAAAAATTGTCAAAACATGCTCAGGCATAGTCAGAAATAGTAGAAAGCATCGCCCCCATATCAATTGTTGCAACTATTTTCGAATGTTCCTACTGCAGAGGGACATGCCCGACTGAACGCCAGGGCCGCCTCCAGCGACGCCCCACCAGGACGCCCGACGCCCCTGCGCGGACGCCCCTCGTGCCAGGCCCGCCCGTGGGGGCCGCCAAGGAGGACCAGGCGGCGAGGCGATAGCGCACGCCGCCGTGTTCCCTGGGATCTGAGCGCCTCAATGTTTTGAGCCGAGCGTTTTCGCCCAACTTCGGGCCTACGGACCCTCACAGATCGACCCGGCTCGAACCATGCCGCAAAAAGGTAGGGCCTCGGGCGCGGGCAAGAGTTACAATCCGTATCCACTGCGTCTTGGACTTTCTGGCCGAGGCGCATGGGGCATCGATCGAAAGCGCTGGCCTCCAGGGGCCAGATTTTCATCCATAGCCGCTGCGCCTCGGGTTTCTGGGGAGGGGAACCCGAATCTCCAAAACGCGTGGCTACTACCTATGGATACATTTCCAACTCGTCGTCGTCGTCTTCGTCGTCGTCGGCGTCGGCAGCGGCGGCGTCGGCATCAGCGTCGGGGTCCGCGTCGGCGTCGACGTCGACGTCGGCGTCGGCGTCGGTGGCGTTGTCCGCGTCGGCGTCGTCGGCGTCGGCGTCGTCGGCGTCGTCGTCGTCGTCCCCCATTGAGGGTCGGCGGCACCGGCCGCACGGTCTTCGCAATCACGACGGACGGTCGATGGCGGTTGCCAGCGAACCCGAGGGCTCTCGCCGGGCCCCCTGGGACCGTCAGCAACGTCTGCTGGGCGAAAAACAATAGTTCTTTTTGCCCCACCGCAACGCACCCCAACCGAGCACAATTAATGAGCCCACTGGTCCAGCCTGCCACAGAAGGCGAAGGACAGTGTTTCACGACGACGTTGCGTCGGGAAAGCTGGATGCTCACCTCTGGTCCCCGGAGCGGGGCCCACACCTCCGGGGCCCGCCACGCCGCGAGAGAGCAGCTCTCGGCGTCGCCGGGCGCCTGGGGCCTTATACCCAGACCACCGACGTAATGATTTTTTCATTACGTCGATCCCCAGAGGTCCCGACCCGTTCCCCATGACCGGCTTTGCATCCTGAGTCGTTTTTTGACGCTCCCGAGGCCCGGTGAGGGCCCCCGGAGGCCGAAAATTAGGAAAAAACCTCCCGTCGTGATTTTTTCATTGCTCGAGGGGGTCTGGGTAGGGAGGGCCTCTGGCCCTGCCCGCGGAGGCTTCTTCCGGCAGCCCCGCCGGCAGCTGGCGGAGCGCAGCACCTCGACCCGCCTCCGAGGGCCCACCAAGGCCGCTGCTCCGCGGGCCGCTCCGGGACGGCGCTCTGCCCGGGACGTCGAGGCGAGGCCAGCCGTGGCCACGAGAGCCCTCCAGGACGAGCAGCGGCAGCGGTGCTCCCTCGAACGAAGGATTGCAAAAAAAAAAAAAACGAAGGGCTTTTTTGCAGTCCTTCGTTAAAACGAGGTTTTTGTTGCAATTCTTCGGTTTTTTTGCAATCCTTCGTTCCTCTGACCTGTGGGTGTCGGGGTGGCTCTCCGGCCACCGCTCGGGCCTCTGGCGGCCGTTCGGGAAGCGGGCCCCCCGGAACGCTCTCGGCGAGGCGCAGCTGCAAGCGGGTCCCCCCTCAACGCTCTCCGCGCAGCTGCTGGAGAGCATGCCGCGGCCAGAGAGCGGCGAAGAGCCAACGAAGAAGCCCGAAAACCTCGAGCCCGAGACTTTTCTGCTCGCCTGCGGGGACGCCGGGGTAGCAATGTAGCGGCCGCGGCCTCTGAGCAGATCCCTCCGCATGGATTGCTGCATACTGAAGGAAACTCGATCGTTGGCCTTGGAAGCCAAGTAGTTCTTGTACGGGGATCACTGCTGCGGTCGATCCAGTGATTGGAAGGTCCCAGGATGAGAGGTACCTGTTCCTCCTCCTGATTAAGGCCTCCCCAATAGGGTCCGAGTAGATGGGGTCGGAGGATCGCGCCGCATCAATGACGCATCGGCGACGCATCGGCGATGCCGACGCGGGAGAATCGGGCTCCACATCGAGCCGAATCGCCGATGCGTCGGCCCTGCGGCGCGACCCTCCGACCCCATGTGCCCGGACCCCATCTTCAGCATGGGGGGAGCGGGTCCTGCAGGCCACGGGCCCCGTACCCCAGGGCATTCCCCCGGGATCCGCTCCAGCTCCTCATCCTGAGCCGCTTCCCGACCGCCCCGGGGCCCGTGGGCAGCCCCGAAGGCCCGAAGACGGCGCACAAAAACCTCAGGAGCCGCTGCCCTCGGGACAGCTACAGTTACAGTCACTGCTGAAGCCTCATGGGAACACGAGCTGCAGTCGAAACGAGGAGCCGAGAGGCTCCGCAGGACCCGCTCCCCCCACGCCGCCCCCGCCGCGGGAGTGGAGCGCGCGGCTCCCGGGCAGAGGCAGTTGAACAGGGACCTCGGCCGCCCCGAGACGCAGCGCGCCGCCCGCAGCGTGCCGACACGGCGCTCCACGCGCAGATCGACAGCGCGCGTCTGGCGCGACGCGCGCTCGCCAACAAAAGCGTGCCAGCACGTCGGGCCAACACGCGGTGGGCTCCCCCGGACGGCCTGCAGACGGCACGTGTTGCGTCTCAACCCCAGACCCCCGACGTCATGACTTTCTTAGGGGACCAAAAAAAGACATAAACATCAAAACTCGGAGTTCCGCGCGGAGATCTCGGATCGGCGCTGGGCCGCCCTGGCGGCGCCTCCGGCGCCGCCCCTGGCGCGCTCCGCGCGCCAGGGAGGGGGGTCCAGCGCCGACCCGAGAAATCCGCGCGGACCTCCGAGTCTTTATGTTTATGCCACTTTTCGTTCCCCTATTTCTCATAACATCGACCCCCTGTGTTTTTTTTCGGTTTCGTACGTGGTTTTTTCACCAAATGATCAAGGATGCTCCTCGATGGTCCTCGCCGAAGCAAAAATGCACACGTCCGAGCGATGCCAAGTCATGACTTTCTCATAGCATCGAGCCCCATGCAGGGGTCTCGACACCTTCCCCGGGGCCGGCTTCTCGGCCCCAGCCGCAGCCGTCTCCGGACGGCCCCGAGGCCCGGCGGGGGCCGCCGCCGGCCGAGCACGGCAGCAAAAACCTGCCGTCGTGACTTCTGTGCTCACGGGCGCGAGGGGGTCTGGGGCTGCGCCCCCCTCCTCCCCCTCCCTCTCCTCTCCTTCCTCCTCCTCCCCCTCCTCCTCCCTTTCCTCCTCCTCCCTTTCCTCCTCCTCCCTTTCCTCCTCCTCCTCCTCCTCTCCTCCCCTCTCCTCCTCCTCCTCCTCTCCTCCTCCAATCCTCCTCCTACTCCTCCCTCCTCCTCCTCCTCCCCCTCCTCTCCTTCCCCTCCCTCTCCTCCCCTCCCCTCCTCCTCCCTCCTACCCTCCTCCTACTCCTCTCCTCCTCTGCCTCCTCCCCTCCTCATCCTCCTCCTCCTCCTCCTCCTCATCATCATCCCTCTTCCTCCTCCTCCTCCTCCTCCTCATCCTCCTCTCCTCCTTCCTCCTCCTCCTCCTCCTCCTCCTCCGCCGCCGCCGCCGCCGCCGCCGCCGCTGCCTCCGCCTCCGCCTCCGCCTCCACCGCGGGCGCGCCGAGGCAGCCAAGGCGGGGGCATGCCGCACAGCGCCATCTGCGCGTAGTGCACCGCCGGGCCGCCGATGCCCAGGCAGCCGAGGAGCCGCCCCGCCCCCTCCCCCCCCACCCCCCGCCCGCGCGGGGGGGAGGGGTCGCGGGCGGCCCAGGCGTCGGGCGGTGCGCGGGCGAGGAGGAGGAGGAGGAGGAGGAGGAGGAGGAGGAGGAGGAGAACGAGAATGATAATGTCTGTTCACTAAGGGAGAAAAAAAAGCCTACCCAAGGGAGAGGGGATCGGGGTCGGACTCCTGTCGAGCCTACCTCTTGACGCAGCCTTGGGCCTTCGGCCACTGGCCACGCTCGATCCTCTTTAGATACTCCTCCGCGGGCAGCGCGGGCGAGTAGGCGCAGGAGCGGACGAGCGCTCTGCTGGCAGCAAGGGTGCCTGCGCCCACTACGGAGGGAGGCAACTGCTGGGGGGTCTCCGTCGTAAGGATGAAAAGGAGGATTCGGCCCCATTGGGGGCTGATACGCTGGATTGGGCCGCGGATTAAGCGGGATCAAGCTACGAGTAATCCGGATGTAACCCGATTGAGCGGGAGTGCGAGGCGGATTTCGGACCATGGCAAAGTCAGAATATGATATCCCAGGAGTTGCATCCCAAACACCAACCTCAGAGTCAAAACGTGTATGAAGGACGGGTGGAGGGTGACGCCCTCTCCATTTCTCGTTGCACCTTAGCTGTGGCTTCGGCTTCAGCTGCCGATGCGCCGTAAAGCGCCTTCGGGACAACTCCCCCGCGTCGGATTTTTCGCTCGCACGGGTGCTCCCCCCCTTGAAGGACGCAAGACCCTTGGAGGCCGAAGTCAAACAATTGCTTGGGCGGCGGGCGACCAGTGAACATGGCAAAGAGCGGGCCGCAGAGGCAAGGACACAAGGGCACCCCATAGATGAGGGCGCGCGTCCTCACTGGGCGCGTTGAGTGTGAGACGACGCCAGGACGAGGATAAAATGGGACGAGGGCGAATCAGGAGACTCTGAGATCTGGCGGCTGTGGGGGATGTCTCGGACGCCGTGGCCTTCTCGGAGCGCTCTGGCCGGAGCGTCCTGAGTGTTTCGGAACGTCCTGGAACGTACCTATCCTCGCCCGAGCCCCGTCCGAATACTGCTGGCAACAGGGGCGCGGCACACACACAAAACGCTCGCCGCCGACTCGTGGCTCGCGGAGCCACCAGGAGTCGCAAAGAGGTCCCGCAGGCGAGGGGGAGGGCAGAGAGGTCCTCGGCAACTGCCCGGGCGGCTCTGCCCGTGCGCGGCGTGCTTCTGGCAACATTGCTGCTCCTCTTCCGGCCTCTGGAGACCTACTGGGTCCTCGGGGGGGCCAGGAACGGAAGGGGGGGGGCGAGAGGCGACCGGGAGGAAGTGGGGCGCGGAAGGGAGGGCGAGGAGGACGCGCGTGGAGCAGGTCAAGCAGGGAGGGAGGACGAGGGCGTGAAGGAGGAGGAGGAGGACGAGGACGACGACGACGACGACGTTGAACGCTACTTTTTGATCCGCGGGTCGAGAGCGCACCTCTTCCGGTCGAAGCCAAGCGGGCCGCGCACAGCTTTAACTAACAGAAGGGGGGAAGGCAGAAGGAGGAGCCTCACGTCAACAAAGACGACGACGACGACGACGACGACGACGACGACGACGACGACGAAAACGAGGAAAACGAGGAGAAGGGCCGGGCGGGCGCGGGCCCCTGGGGGCAGGCGCCGCGGCGGTGCCGCGGCAGCCGTGCACGCCGAGGAGGAGGACGCGCACTGACCCGGGTGCGTTGGATCCTGTAGGAGGAGGAGGACAAGGAGGAGGAGGAGGAGGAGGAGGAGGAGAAGGAGGAGGAGGAGGAGGAGGACAAGGAGGAGGAGGAGGAGGAGGAGGAGGACAAGGAGGGAGACAAGGAGGAGGAGGAGGAGGAGGAGGAGGAGGAGGAGGAGGGCGCAGGAGAGGGACGCGTTGGAGGAGGGCGCAGGAGGAGGCGGAGGAGAAGGAGGAGGAGGGCGCAGGAGAGGGACGCGTTGGAGGAGGGCGCAGGAGGCGGCGGAGGAGGAGGAGGAGGAGGAGAAGGAGAAAGAAGAGAAGGGGGAGCGCCCGCTTCCGATGCGTTGCGGTCTGCAGGCGGGGCGGGGGATGAGGAAGCGGCGAGGGCGGCGGCGGCAGCACTCGGGGCACACTCCAGCACCGCCATGAAATCGGGGACTCCCCCGAACTGCGCGTCGAGCATGGCTGCGAAGGCGTCGAGGTTGGCCTTGTCCAGCACGTTGCGTGGTCCAGCGCGAATGCCAGAAGGGCCATCTTTCACAGGAAGGCGATCACCAGCAGGTTGTGGGTGATCTTCTTCTCCAAGAGGGTCATCAGCGGAGGGCTCAGGCTGTCGATCGCCGTGCTCATCACGTTCGCAATCCAGACAAATTGAGCAGCGATGGCGGCGAGGCCCGTTGAGTCCAGCATGTTGGGCTTGCGACGCTTACCTTCATCCCGCCGAGGGCTAGCGCTCGGAGTCACAGCCGCAGCCCATGAGTCGCCCGCACCAGTATGCCATGGATCAGCGCCACGATGAGGTGGCAGAACACCAGGAAGAGCGGCACGATCTTCGGCACCTCCAGCACCATCCAAAAGGTCACCACGACCCGCAACACAACGAAGGACAGCACCATTTTGGCCAGGCTGATCGGCCAGCGCTGGAGGCTCCGCCGCCTGAACCCAGACAATCGCCTCAACCTTGCCATCGGAATGGTTTTGGTCCCTGTCTACCACCACGCTGCCAGTGATGCGGGCCGCCACCGCCCCAAGGCACTGCACAGGTGGCTCGCGCGTCAGGTCCGATGCAAGGGCGCCGTGCGGCCACAGGATGCACTTGACCTTGCACCGCTGCGCGTCCAGCGCGGACCTAACGGACGCGAAGGGAGCAAGGCACTCCCGCGGCCAGCTGTCCTCGGAGCCAGACGAGGCGGGCAGCGACGACCATCCCAGGCACGGCCAGCCGCGCGGCGGGAGAGGAAGGGGAGAGGGGGGGGGGGGCGCCTGGGCGCCTCGGACGCCCCGACCAGGCCAAGGCCTGAGCAGAAGGCCGAGGAGGAGGAGGAGGAGGAGGAGGAGGAGGAGGAGGAGCAGGAGCAGGAGCAGGAGCAGGACGTGCACGAGGAGGAGGAGGAGGAGGAGGAGGAGGAGGAGGAGGGCGCAGGATCCTGCAAGATCTGGTCGGGCCCTGCAAGGCCTGACTGACCCGAGTTTGCATCGACCCGGGTCAGCCTTTAGATCCCCGGACGAGGACGGAGGAGCGGAGGGCCGCCACCAGAGCGCGAAGCTGTCTGTGGCTCGCGGTTCGCGGGTCGCGATGCCCCCTTGCCAGTCATGCTCGCGTCGGGAACAAGCATCGTGAACGGAAGGGCTTTGGGCTTTGGTAGTGCTGGGCCTGCGGGGGCCCCTGCAGGGCCCCGGGGCCGTGGACGCAACGACTCGGGAGGAAGAGCCGGTCCCGGGGAAGGGGACGGGGCTTCAGGGGCCGCCGCCTTGAAAAACCTGGGACGTCGCGTGTCTGTCTGGGGCAGCCCTCGCTGAGCGGCTCAGCAGCTGCCTTGTGAGCTGGCCCGGCCGGCCCGTTTCGCGCCTAGCAGCTAATTAGGTCTGGTTCGGTGCCCCGGACAGCTTCTGTCTGCGCCTGCGCTTTCGCTAGCGGACGCGACCGAAAAAAGTGTGTCTGGGGAGCGCACGCAGCCTTGGCGAACGAGCTCTGGCCCCCCCGGCCTGGCGAAGCGGCGCGAGCAGCAGGCCGCGCCCCGGGGCCGGGCGAGCTGGCGCGCGCGGCCCCGCGCTGGGCCAAGCGGGGAGCCCAGACCCCCGACGCCGCGATTTTTCCACAGCGCCGACCCCCGGAGGTCTGGACCCCTTCCCCAGGACGGGCTTCTCATCCTGCGTCGTCCGCTGACGGCGCCGATGCTCGGCGAGGGCACCCGGCGGCCGACAAGGACAGAGGAAACCTCCCGTCGCCATCGTTCACAGCGCGAGGGGGCCTGGGAGGAGGAAGCCGAGGAGGCGAGCGCCAGAGGGCGAAGGCCCCTGGTCCTCCTTGCCTCGGCGATTCGAAAGGGGCGCAGGGGAGGCCTCTCCTCGGGGGGGGGGGGGCGCAGCGGCTCTCAGCAGCAGGCGGGGATGCCGGCGCGCGCCCCTCGCGAAACGGACGTCGCGGCGGCGCCGCGGCAACCGCGCACGGGAACGAGGAGGCGAGGAGGAGGAGGAGGAGGAGGACGAGGAGGAGGAGGAGGAGAAGGAGGAGGAGGAGGAGGAGGAGGAGGAGGAGGAGTGGCGAGTTACTGGCGGGGCGGTGCCGTCCGCGCCTGTGGGCCTCCTCAGAAGAGGCCCATGAAAAGGCCAAAGGAGTCGACCCAGCGCACGCTGCTCAGGACAACCGCGTGCCACTCCTCCCGCGGCCAGTCGCCCCCGCCCCGGCCCCTCGTCGCCGCCGCAGCGGCGGCGGAGGAGATCGGAGGCGGCCTCCATGGAGTCGGCGGCCATGAGCTCCTCGAGCACGCGGCCGACTCCACCAGGAGCAACAGCAGGCGCCGCACGGGCCGATGGGACCAGGGACGCCCCGGCGCTCCGCGCCTCGACGCCAAGCGAAGCTCCAGGCGACTCACGACTGGGGAGCGCCCCAGCGGCCGCGCCAGGCTGCGCAGCAGACGCCGCGGCCGGGGACGCGGGGCGCGACACCACCGTGTCCGCCCAGGCGTCGTCCTCTGGATCGCTGCCGCCGTCCACCCCCAGACCACCGCCCGCCAACAGCGCCGTCGAGCACCATGCTGGGCCCAGACCTGCGCTCCGCGAGCTCGGCGGCGCCGAGCGCGACGTCGCCTCCGCCGCGGCCCCTGGCCACCAGACAGAACATCCGCCGCGGGAGCGCGAGGCGGCACGCCTGGGCCGCCGTCGCCGCCCTCGCCACCACGACCTTCCGCCGCGGCGCGGGCAGCTCGAAACTCGGCCTCGAAGCGTCGCCGCCGCGGCACGCACGAGGCCTTCCGCGGAACGCAGGCGCGCGAGCCGCCGTCGCACGCCGCGCCAGGCCAGCTCCGCCACGCACCACCAGCGCGGCCCTAGTGGGCTGCAGCCAGCGCTGCGCGGCGATCCGTCGCCGCCGCCATCGGAGGCCCGCGGCGGGCCAGGGGCCCAGCGGCGACGAGCTGGAGAAGGAGGGGGGGGGAGGAGGAGGAGGAGGAGGAGGAGGAGGAGGAGGAGGAGGAGGAGGAGGAGGAGGAGGAGGAGGAGGACGACGAGGACGAGGAGGAGGACGAGGAGGAGGATTGGATTGGATTGGACACTTCGGGGGGACAAGGCTGAGCCTTCCAGCAACGAAGGTTAGAGGGATACCCTGCACCGCTCCGCGGCACAGGGCCCTCCCCCAACCAACATGCCAGAAACCACAACCTCCGAGCCAAGGGACGCCACGCGTGGTCTCAGCACAACGCCCAGGAGATGGCAAGCTCGAGGCCGTCGCCTCGACACGAACAGTAAGCTACACAAGCGACCGCTCCACATCATCATCGTCATCCACCTCTCGTCCTCCTGGCCTCCAACACCCAAATGCCTACGAGCGGAGGGGCGGAAGGGGCGAAGGAGGGAGGAGAATATGATCCGAAGGGGAGGGGAATAAGGGGAAAGACGCCTAAAAGGCGAAGCGCTGCCGCCTCACCTCGACCTTGCCCTTCCCCTCGCCCTTGCCCTTGCAATTGTTCAGCGCGGCCTGGCATTCCCTGCGCCGGGCCGCCCCGCCCTGGATGGCGAACCTGCGCATGCGCGCGCAGGCGCGGCAGTCAACGACGACTCCGCCGTCAATCCAGTCCTTGCCTTTACCCTTGCCCTTGTAGTTGTCCTTGCCCTCGAGGGGGGGAAGAGACCACGGGTCGGCGCCAGCAGCCCATGGATCAGGGCGAATACCGGCACGCACAGCCATATCACTGTTACTGTTCTTGCCCTTGCTCATGTCCGTATCGTCGTCCGTGCCTGTGACCTGCAAGGAACGAGAAGCCGGAAAAACCGAATGAGCAGAGACCTCACACGCAGGAACCCGAGGAGCAACTGGAGGGCCACTGTCGCCAGCAGCATCAGGAGCGCCGCCCTCGGCAACATGGTGTACCTCGGCGGGCGCAGCGGCATGCGGCTGCAGCGCGGCAGCCAGCGCCCCTGCGGGAGGAGGAGGAGGAGGAGGAGGAGGAGGTGGTGGAGGAGGAGGAGGAGGAGGAAGAGTAGAAGGAGGAGGAGGAGGAGGAGGAGGAAAACGAAGAGTACCCTGAGGTACTTGCGTTACGACTTTTTCGCACCGTGCGTTTTGGCTCGGTTTCGGGCCCCAGCACCTTCACATATCGATCCAGCTCGAAAAATGACGCAGAAAGATAGGGTCCGGGGCTCTGATCGTGTGTTTTTGCGGTTTGTTGCGTCGGATCTCAGAGGTGGAGGGGCGAGAGAGGATGGCGAGCTTGAGCTTCGGTATTCCCCTGGCGACTGGCGATGGCAACGACTGTGCGGCGTGTGCGGATGAAGTCGGGTCTGGGCCACAAGAGCACCCCTCAAAAACATGAGACCCTCCGTCGGCCAGAACAAACAGAAAATCCAAGGGTAGCATCCCCATGATGCACAAGAACATCCAACGAACACGAAGAACACTAGGGCACCCTCCCCGAATCAACCTCGATCATACACCTCGGTCCTACTGCACTGCAGCACAGGTGTTGAGAGACGGCGATTGTCCCAAAACTGCCCTGGCGCCCATTTTAGGGAAACTGGCTGGCTACGGCTGTGCACAATTGGTGGGTCCAACAGGGATGAGATAGACGAGGGCGTGGAGGAGCAGGAAACAGGGAGGACGAGTACCCCTCTCCGATGTGTCATGTCAGTGCGCCATCAGGCCCACGAGCGAGTCAGCAGACCCCTCAACTGTGTGTGGCGTCTGGCCAGAACTCGAGCTCGGGCCAACCCAACTTGCGGACACCCTCAGGGCCGCAACTCGGCTCCCAGCCCGAGGCCGAACGGAGTTGTGAGACGCAAAGAGACAAAGACTCAGAAGCAGACTGTGGAACTCCTCTGGGCCCAGGTCGGGCACACGAGCGGCAGAGGAGCAGGAAGGAAGGGGGGAGCGCGAGGGGGGCGGGCGGACGAGGCGCAGGGGGGGACCGCGGCGGCATGGCGCCAGCCCCTCGAGTGGCCAGGATGATCCAGATGAGCATCATGTTCTGGCTGATCAGCCTTTGGAGGGCCGGGGCCGGACAGGCGACACACACACACACACACTTTTGATCCGCGGGTCGAGAGCGCACCTCTTCCGGTCGAAGCTAAGCGGGCCGGGCGAAGCTTGAATTAACCAGAGAAGGGGGAGGAAAAGGGGGGGGCGCAGCCTCAGAGCGAGGCTGCGAGGAGGCAAAGCCTCGGAACCAGGCGGTGCCGAAGCCGACGAACTTGCAAAGGCGCGCCTTTTCCAGGAACCCGGTGGCGGGCGACACACTTTTTGATCCGCGGGTCGAGAGCGCACCTCTTCCGGTCGAAGCTAAGCGGGCCGCGCGGAGCTTGAATTAGGCGGAGGGAGGGGAGGGAGGGAGGAAGCGGCGGAGCCTCAGGGCGAGGCCGGGAGGAGGCATAGCCTCGGATACAGGCGGTCGCGACACACACACACACACACACACACACACACACACACACGCACACACGCACACACACACACAAACACACACACACACACACACCACACACGCACGCACGCACGCACGCACTCACGCACGCACGCACGCACGCACACATGCTCCGAGCCCCGGCCCGCCTCCCTCGTGAGGAGTCCCCCCTTCGTGGCGCCGTCGGCCCTGCTGGCGGGGCCGCCCGGGCGCCCCGCGCAGCCCAAGGTCCTCCGCGGGGTGTTGGCGGCAGAGCCTCCAGAGCTCCAACGGCTGCCAGAGTGGTGGATGGCTCTCCTGCTCCTCCTCCTCCTCCTCCTCCTCCTCCTCCTCCTCCTCCTCATCCTCCTCCTCCTCCTCTTCTGCTCCTCCTCCTCCTCCTCCTCCTCTTCCTGCTCCTCCTCCTCCTCCTCCTCCTCCTCCTCCTCCTCCTCCTCATCCTGCTCCGGCAGGTCCATCTGCATCAAAGGCCGTGCGCTCGCCGTGGAGGTCTGCACGCCTGGCGGTCCGCAGTCGGTGTCCCGGCAGCTGCGCCTCGGGAAGGAGAGCCGTGGTCGATGCGGCGCGCTCGCCTGGCGTCGCACTCTGTGGCCAGAGAGCTCGAGTCTCCGATAAGCTTAACGGGTGCCCAGGAGCGTCTACCCTTCAGACTCGAGCTCTCGCTTGGAGGGCCCTCGCATGTTCTGATCCTGAAGCTTGACTTCCAAGAGTCACACGAGTGGAGAGCGGTCCCAATTCAAGCTCGGGCTAATGTTCAAGAGTCTTGGAAGTTCAAGCGACTGAGCGAATTTGGGGCCGCCTTTGTTTCAAAGTAGAGTTAGCTCTTGTCCCAGACGTCCTCAAGCAGACGGCTGTAAGCTTGAAGCTGCCAGAGACCAGAAGGATGTAGGGCGGTTCATCTTCACAATCGCGGAATCCCTCTTGCGCAGCGCTGGTAAGGCTTCAGGCTGCACACAGGCAGTCCACCCAAGGAGCCCTGACTGGCCTCAACAGGCCCCCCCGAGCAGTCTGAAGCGGTCTCAACACCTCAACTCTGGGCCACTGAGCGCCCCAGGGGCGCCGCGCCGAAGGCAGCGCCAGGGTGTTGAGACCGCCCTGGACTGCTCGGGGGTGCTGTCGAGGCCTCTCGGGACTAGCCGAAGCCTTACTACCCAACGCAAGATTGTGATAGCAAATCGTGAATGCAAGTCGACCCCTCCCACTCCCACGGCACTTCGACCCCACTCGACCCAACATCGGCCTCTTCGTCGGCGCCCGCCGTGCACCCGATCGGGCGCCCACCGGGGCCAGAGGCGGTACTGGCAAGGTCGGCACCGAAGGCAGGGAGGGAGGAAGAAGAGAGGTAAGTCACGGGGCCCCAAGACGCCGCCAAGGAGCCCCAAGAGACCCCCAAGAGGCCCCCAAGAGGCTCCTAGGAGGCCCCAAAGCGGCCCCCAAGAGGCTTCAAAGAGGCCCCATAGAGCGCTCGAGGGCCGGCGGAATGAGCGAAGCGATTAAAGAGAGGTAAGCCACTCGGCCGTGGGGCTCTGGCTTCAACAGCACACTGCACGAGCACAGACCGTCGAAGAGCTCCACGCGGCTTTTCCTGGGATCGGCGCTCGAGGCGCCGCCAGGTGGGGGCCAGCGCCGACCCGAGAGAGATCCGAGGCACTCCGAAAGACTCCAGTCGGGGCGTTGACCTAAGGAACCCTAAATAAGGAACGAGGCCCCTTTTTTCCATAAGTTAAGCTTCGATTTCCCATCGAAAACCTAAGGAAAACCTGAGGCAAGCTGTGAAACACTTAAGGAACGCGGAGCCCCTCCCCAACGAAAAGGGTTCCTTCTCCAGGGCCCCGACTGTACTGAGTGCATGTCTGCCCTAATTCATCATTCGGCCGTCTCTACACTCGAACCTCTGGCGGGGCCACGCGAGCACCACCGCTCGAGCCCCCCAGGATCATGAGGGTGCGACTGAGATCAGAGGCCCCCAGCTTTCCCTACGAAGATCGCCGTGGCTGGGATGGATGCTCGCGCGTTTGTGCAAGAAGGGGACCTCGGACAGGCGAGCATAAATGCATTATCGGTGGTGCACGCTGGGGTTACTAAGGTCCTCGTCCCTTCCCGCCCTCCCCTCATCATTATGATTTCTATCCCCCCTGTTCTCCGACTCTTCCTCCTCTCCTCGTCATCCTCCTGCCGTCTCCCTCCTCATCCCTTCTGCCAGCCCTCGAACTCGCACACAAATAGATATACGTAGACATACCCATACATGTGTACATACATATACTTATGATATATGTATGCGTGTGTATATATAGCTGTGTGTAATCGGACGTACACGTAAAGTTGTGTATGCACGCATATGTACAATTATACCTACAAATATACATTCATACATACATACATACATACATACATACATGCATGCATGCATGCATGCATACATACATACATACATACATATATGCATACATACATACATACATGCATGCATATATACATACATGCACACATACATACATACATACATACATACATACATACATACCTGCATGTATACATACATACATACATACATACATGCATTCATTCATACATATATATACATATATACATACATACATACATACATGCATACATACATACATACATACATACATACGTACGTGCATACATACATACATACATACATACATGCATGCATCCATACATACATACAAACATACATACATACCTGTATATATATACACACATGCATACATACATACATACAGACATACAGACAGACATACATACATTCACACACATGCATACAAACATGCATACATACATACATACATACATGCATGCATGCATACATACACACACATACATACATACATACATACATGCATGCATGCATGCATGCATACATACATACATGCATACATATATACAATTATACACGCATGCATACATACATACATACATACATACATACATACATACATACAGACGTACGTACATACATACACACATACATACTTACAAACATACATACATACATCTATACGTACGTACACAACTTTATAAGTGACCCCCTGGGCAATACACCTAGTTCTCTATGGCAACCCACCTATACTTGAATCCTCCTCCAGCACCCTCTCCCGTAGACTCGTAGCCTCCTCTTCGTCGGCCCTTCCGTCAGAGGTGTAAGGCACACGTGGCTAACCTGCTCGTGTCCCGTTCCTCTGTGTCGTCTCATCATCATCAGCATCGCAAATTCTGCCCAGCCCATTGCCAGACTGGGAGTAGCAAATGCTAATACAGTCAACGCTCGGCATCCTGCGCGTCTAGTCTACTGAACCGAGTGAGGTGTCCTCCCGCGAGCGGCTACGCACAGGTCACGGGGGCAATCGGAAGAAGACCTGCACTGCTAACCCACAGGGACCTCCAGATTGGAATTTCAGCTAAGGAAGGAGGCGGAGGAAGGAGGAATCACCAATGGATTACGTGCCCCTTGCCCCTTCGGTAACTATCCGGCGCTGGCCGCAGCGCTGTGAGATAAGCGCCAGCACCTTCGATGAGTTCAAGAAGCGCCGTGGGAGGAGGATGAGGAAGAGGGTCAGCAGCAGCATGTCCGTTATCAACATCATCATCACCATCATCATCATCATCATCATCATCATCATCATCATCATCATCATCATCAGCATCATCATCACCATCACTATCACCATCACCATCACCATCATCCTTCTCCTCATCCTCATCATCAGCATCATCATCATAGTCAGCATCATCATCATCATCACCACCACCATCATCATCATCATCATCATCATCATCATCATCATCATCAGCATCATCATCACCATCACTATCACCATCACCATCACCATCATCCTTCTCCTCATCCTCATCATCAGCATCATCATCATAGTCAGCATCATCATCATCATCACCACCACCATCATCATCATCATCATCATCATCATCATCATCATCATCAGCATCATCATCACCATCACTATCACCATCACCATCACCATCATCCTTCTCCTCATCCTCATCATCAGCATCATCAT